TCAACTGAACTAGGCTCCTAAACGCTGCCAGATCATTCACGAGGTCGATGTGTAGTGAACAAAAGGAATTTGTAACATTACTCAACAGCAGAAGTATTACAAACACATCATTTCATACGAGACTGGTGGCTACTATGGTCTAGAGATAGCTCCCATGAGAGTTTCTCAAAGTGAATTATCTCACTAGGTCACTGCATAGTGAAGATATGTCGAAGCACTGATAAAAGGCTGCAATAAACCCCTCTACCAAGTTAAGTTGAAACTTTTCAGCAGGAGACAGCATGAGACACAAGACTATGACGCATAATTCACTGTTTTCTTGTTGTCTTCATATTTTTATTTCCTTTTTCTAAATTTATAGGATAGGGAAGGGAAAGCAAAGACACCATTGCCAGCAGAGGATGAGGAAAGATAATGGAACGACTGATAGGAATGAGGAGATTGATGGGGGAATCAAGCATGCTGACAATTTTATGGAACTTTTAGTTTTTTTTTTTTTAAATGGATAATCAATTTTATTATTATTACCTGTCATGTTAACAACATATAGTACCTAGCTTCTACTCTTCCCATGAAAGCTACAAAGTAATTCTCTCGTTAATCATTTGCTCGTCACATTCCACGTAATTACTCCATTTCCTGTGAACCGTATCCATCAATTGGAATTCAGTCAAATGCACATAGAAAGTCAAACATCAAGGAAATTTAATGCAAGTGATAAAGCTTGTCACTTAGTCAGGCATATCTTGCACCACATTTATACAATCTTAGAGCCCATTTCACATAAAGTGGTTCATACATATGATAAAGGTAAATATATAGGCATCAATTCCAAGTTAAAAAATTATTCAAATGATTGATTATATTCGTGCAGTAACTGGATCATGTACTACAAACTGCGCACACTGTTCAGAGATATCAAAAAATCTTACTTTTAAACTAAACAAATTTTTAAGAGAATCAAGATCTCACTTACTATATGATCCTGTTAAACATCCGCTGCTATTTAATCAATATTCTTTTTTATCATATCATAGACCCCTCCATAAATTTCCAGCAGAGTCAAATAAACTTTCGTTTTATGAAAAACTTGGGCTTTCAGGACTGCCTTTTAATACAAACTTCTTGTAGCTTACAGTGTTCCAACTTCCAACAATTACATTATTTGAATACATTTTAATAATGTTGAAACCTTTAAAAACTAGCAGACTCATCAAGCTAATTGGTTTTTACTGTTCAAATAATTTAAGTTTAAGACATCCATCTTCAAATTAGACTCGCACAGGTAAATTTGCTTTTATAGTTATCTTTAAATTTTACTTCTAGAATTCAGTTTATTCCACATTTATATCAATTGCATAGGTAAATTTATCGTCCAAGTTTCATAGTATTTTAATTAATGCTAAGTTAACCAAACCACTTAAAGTTCATTTGATTTAGGAAATAAATGCCTCTATTAGTTTAGACCTGGTGCAGAAATATCCAGCTCACAGGTAACGATGACACTAGGTTTTACATCCAAGTAATTTACTTTTCGCAGTTACATAAATGGTAAAATAACAAAGGCTTGTAGACCACAGCCTGAATGTGTAATTTCCATCGGAATAATTTGTTCATAGCTTAACCTTATATTCCTTTTCTATTATATCATGCCTAGTAACATATATAATAGCGCAGAGTAAAGAACAATTTAGAGACATAGAACAACGCACAGATATTATTAACCATGTAAAAAGTATCATCTCATGGAGCTTTTAATTTTCTTCCTTTCTTTCAGGTGTACATAGGTTTACCTTTCTCTATGGCATCCCTTCTTGCAGATCTTGTTGTTAGGACTTATGTTATATTAGCAATTTGATAAGTGTATTTTCGACACTTATTCGGGGCTTAAAACTATAGACTTTTATTGATTTTTTGACAAAATTTTACATAATTTATGTTATATTGCATTGTGTAGGTAAAACTTTATGTTTAATGAAGAATTGGAGAAAAGAAGCAAAATATGGTGAAAAATGGTAAAATCCAAAGTTCGAGGATCAAATTACAAATACTCAAGAAGATACTTTGAAGATTATTAGGAGACAATTGGATTGAAATTAGAATTCAAAAAGGAATGGAATATGATCAAAGTATTATCAAAATCAATTTCCAATCGCTCAAGATATATTCCAGATTTTTAGCCGAATATTGAGACCCATTTTTGGCAAAGTAAACGTCCGAATTGGAAAAACTCTATTTCAATCAAAGTTGTAGCCCTTTAAGTTATCTTTCCAACGCACTTTGAATCGCATCAATCGGATATCAGAAGAGAAAGTTATGACTAAAATACGGACTGCTGTGCAGAGACAAAAAATCCGCGCGCGAAGGCAACTTTCCTTATTCGATTAGAACTATTTTGGAAACCAATTTGGACGTGATTTTCAACCAATTTTCGGCTCCTATAAAGAGAGAAGAGCAGAATACATATGGAGAACCTCCCTAAACCTAAAAATCTCTATATTATACATATTTTGGAGGCGAAGAACGTGGCTGACAACGTGAAATCAAGGCGAATTGCATAGGATATTGAAGATTCTTCATCCGGATTCAAGATTCACATCAAGAACGTTGATTTTTCCTATTTCTTCCATCTTTCTTATTTCCGGGTGATGTTTTTCCAATTATTCTTGTGTAATTTAATTTCTACAATATGCTAGGCTAAATTCCCTTGTATTGGATGGATGATGAAGCTAATTAATTTTCACAATTCTTTAGACAAAGATTATTATAAAAGAATAGAATTGTTATAAAAAAATTGAAAAAATCCAGGAGTCTTTTGGAATGTCAAATAGATGAACTATGAGTCTTTGAGTTCGAATATGGAACAAGGAAAAAGGTTCGCCGAATATACGCTAGCCTGTCGCCTAGCTGATGCTCGAGAAAAAAAGATAGAATCATTGTCGTCCGCCTATCGCTAGAGCAACATCTCTCGCTGGCCTGGCGCTCAAGCAACGATGTTATATGTGAAACTTTAGTTCGCGATTTTCAAAAGTTTTATCCTACCTATACTACCTAAATACCTCTTATTATAAATATTCAATGTTTATTACGTTTTTGTGGGTAGTTCATTATTTTACATCTTCGTTACATCAATTCAAGATCCAAGAACACATCCAAATATTGAGATTAAACGTTTGATTCTTGAAATCAATCAACTACAAGTTGGGGAAAAACATCATTTTTTTTATAATCCACTAGATATAATCAGGAAAGTACTTTCTCGATAGCTTTCAAAAGTAGCTAAAGATTGAGGGAGGTTAGACCAGAAACAAGGGAAGAGTACAAGAACTAGGTGTAATTGGTGATCCACGGGAGATAAAGAATTCCAGAAGATCGGGAGCAGGTATGAGTGAAGCACGTTCCAGCGGATCTTGAAAATTGCAGGGCAGGAATTAAACCAGCGAGTATAGTGGATCTTCTAGGTTGGATCATACTTTAAGTTCATATTGCCTATAATGGAAACTACTTGCTTGGTCCCAGAGTTTACCCAATTAGGGTTGTCTCTGCCATCAATTCTTTGCGTTGTTTACATTACTGATTTCATACAAATCAGCAATTCAATATAGGGTAGTTGATTCACGTGAACTGGATCTAGATTAATTAGTTATTGTGACTTTTTGTAATATTGATCAACGATAATTTTTAATTCCGCATTATTCACCTATTAACCCCTTCTAGGTGATTTTAGGGTCGAACTAGTAACTTTCACTTGTTGTCCCCTTCTCTCCTCAAACCCAGTTCTCTCTCCTCCTCCTCCTTCCCCCTGTTTCACTATTCTCTTCACTGCAGATTGCTTTTTACTTCTTGACAGGCTTTTTTCAATCTTCTTCTCCTTCTTTTCTTATCTCTTTCGTCTTTCCTTCTCTTCCTCTTTTCAGCCAATAACGAAGTCTATATAGACTATAGAAAGGGCACAGCAGATACAAGCTACCACCTCTTCAGACAAAATATCACACCCATCATTTCCTGTCTGAAGTTCTAGCTTAGTCATCATACCATTTAACCTTTCCCAACGCGTTAAGTGGCATGCTCTCATTTAACATGCAGTAGCTTAGTCATCCAGGACTAATTGCCTTGATGAATTAGCCTATTTATCAAATAGAAGAACCACACACTTAGATATACATGCTCGACTACTAAAATCCTAGCTGCATACCTAATCAATCGTAGAATAAGTACAAACTAATCACAGCTAAAACAAGTTAATCATGTTTGGAACTACTTTATCAAATGCTAATATAGGTCATCCGTGTGTTACGTACAGAAGGTGCCATGTTAGGACCTGTTCATTCACAAAGCAGTCATGTGATAAAATAGCTTAATTCTTCAAATCATAACGGGATTGGGAACCCAAGGATACATCACTCAAGCTTTAGTAAACTAGCATTCCATCCCCCACTTTATCAAGCTTCAAAGATTTAGCCTTTAGCATAAAGCAATTGATGGTGTGAACACTCTCTCTTCAATCGTACTCAAGGAGTTCGAAACGAAAACTTGGATTTTTTGGCTTTTTGTATTTTGATTGTCTGTGATGCATGGATGGATGGATGTATCTAAACTGTCAACCAGATCATTCTAACCATCAACAGAAAAATAGGAGCTTAGGGAATCTCATCCTAAAACAGTTTTGCATTCTATAAAATTAATTAGCAGAACGGAGAAGCATCAATAATGATGAAAGACCGCAGAAACGATAAAGTTCAAATTGTACAGGATATCTAGTAAGGGAATCTAAAAATATTAATCAAAAGATATCAAATCGTGACGATGTTTATAGATCCACACAAGAGTCCTAATTAGTATATGACTTTCTCAACAAGAAAATCTAAAATTGTATCTCCATACTCTTACTAAACTCTAATTTTTAAACTATCCAATGTCCTTTTTTGTATACTTGTTTATAACCATTCTCATGAGTAAATCAGATGAATTTAGAAAGTTCAACAATATATAACATTTACCTAGATGCTTCACCGTAGGTTGTCAGTGAACACTCTTCTGGTGCGTCATGGCCATCCTGAACATTGTCGATATCTTCATGTTTTGAGTTTTCTGCAAGGCGGTACAGGGCATCTCGAAGGCAAATTCTGGTACTCTCCGTCAACTAGCAAGATAAATAACTTGTGAGCATATCTTATTTTAGTGACGCGGTTTACCCATTCTAGATAATTCGCTTTCTCACCTGCACAGTCATGCTTCTAAGCTCCAGATATGCAGATTCCTCCAGTGATGTTACTTTCTCTGCGATGTGTGTATCTGCACTGTTGTGCTCCAACGAGAAGGGGATGTCAACCTCCATCGCCTTGAACAACAATTATCAAGTTGAGCAAATCGGGCCTTAAACAGCCATGCCAATGTTACAAATGAACATCATAAATATGACAAAAGTTTAGAACTACTTGATTATATTGATATTCACCAGAATTAACATTTACCAAAACCAATATCCGTAAACCATAGTTACTTAATCAATTGCATCAATACTAGATTACTTAATTATTACTCAGTGTTCTCTAAAAGATATTTCCTTATACTTAAGTTTCTTAGTCTTGAAAGAATGATCACCTCTGCCACTGAAAAGGGATCGTCGTTTGCTTCGTTCTTGCAGTCTCGTGAAACGGAAGAAGTGTACTTCTGGAGATCCTTCGAGTGTCCTATATCGTCTTGAACAGTCTTAGACTCTGAAACTAGATCTCTTAAAAGATTAGATGGCATCATATTGTCATTGCTGGATGTTCGTGAAAAATTAACTGAACCAGCAGCATGGATTCCACTCTCATGCTCTTCAAGTAATGAATCCCTGCATGAAATTCGTAGAAGAGTTGAACTTTGAGTAAAATTAATACAAAAATGATAAAACAGTTTTAACATCAGAAACATATTTTAATAATCACTGAAATTGATATGCCATGAAATTAAGTGATTAAATTTTGTTTTAGATGTGAATGAAGCCAAAAGAAATGTAAATTATTAAGGGCAAGACTACGTTGCAATGTTTCCATACGAAATGGTTAACTCAAGCCTCACTTCTGTACTTGCCTTAAAATAAGCATAACAGTGTGGTTTCTAATCACATGACTTTTACAATTTCAGTGATGGGATAGAACAGTAGAAGAGCCAGAGCTTCAATCAATCGCCGATCAGCCAATCAACTTTAAATTTCTGTCTACCAACAAATCACTGAGGCTAACAGCTTACCTTGAGCATGAAACGTGGAAAATTTAAAATAAAGCATTAGATGCACATGCATGATGCATGAAAGCAAGTATCTTAAGCCCAGAAGGTAAGCTTGTACAAGAAAGTGTCGTCAGCCTCATCAAATCTGGCGAAGTCATTGAGTTGAAAATCCAATTGTTCACGAGGATAAGCACTCCGTTGACAAAAATCATCCGGCAAACCTATACAAACACTTGAACTACAGAGCCGGTCAACTTCCCTGGAAAAAGTGGTCCCACTCAATAGATTTTCTTTCATTCCTGCAATACTGTGTTTCTTAGGGGAGTTGAAACTTCCAAATATTTCCTTCTCCCAAGGAGACGAAATATATGGTGATGGAAGCCTGTCAGACATCTCCTTATCTTTTGCTAAGCAAAGATCTTCAATGTCTCTTCCAAAGTACCAATCCATTGAATTTTTGCAAATGATAACTCACCTACATATACAAGAAGGCTCACAACAGTTTAGTGTATTGAAACAGTAGTATTATGCACCACTTTACTAGAGGCTGTCACAAAGGCCTCAAGGAAATATATCACCCAATCATGTGAATCAGTTTACAATCTTATGCTACACGAGACATTTGTCCAGTATTCTTCTATTATTACCATTGCTATTCTAGTCTTTTTCTGTCATATTAATTATTAAAAACAGCATATAAGGTTTTTCGGTTCAGAATGGAAAACAGTATCCAACCCCTTACCTTTTAATCCATCTCAAAATAAACCACCTCTTAACTTATCATCATATTGATCTATCCAATATTTCAATTCCAAATATTTCGATATTAGCATTCCCCCTGTGCCCGTAATAAACGCATTAATTTTGTAACGAGTAAAAGTCCACTTGATACACTGCAATTGTAAAATGGTCAGGTTAGTTGTCAATGGCCTAAGAATTTCATTCAGTTATATGTGGGTTTTTTGATGTTTTGACCGTTTTACTAGGGGTGGCAAAAAAGCTCGACGGCTCAGGCTCGGCTCGGAAAAAGCCCGAGCCGGGCCCGGCTCGGGCTCGGTCGCACCGAGCCGAGCCCGGGCCGGCCCGTGTTATTTAAAAAAAAAAATTAAAAATTTAAATTAAAGCTGCCTCACAGGCAGCTTGGAATTTTGCCTGCGTTAAGTGCCTGCACGCAGATGACGTGCACGCAACCTCTTGCGTGCA